TAGATCAGTAAAATATGTACGTCTCTACTGAATAATATATTATAGTTGTTATAAACACCCCTCAGATCAATGAGATCGAATTATTTGTATAAACTTTTCATAAGCGACAAAAATAGTTCTAATGTTGCAATTCAACTCTTTTTCGGCTCTTGTAACTCTGTTGATAATAAACACTCAATTAAACATTAAACGGTTATACTAAACATAAAATTGTGTTACTATACTGTGGCGTTTGTCCAATTTGCTATAGAAATGATGGATCGTTGCCACTACATTATTATATGGCGGTCGTACAATAATTTACGATGACTCAATAGATTTTGAAGAATAACACACATGCGAATCATATTATCGTTCCTTTCGTAATATTTTTGCCTTACAAATGCATTAAATCTCATTTCGATAGTATTCAGTATTAATGTAATTGATGATACAAAAACTGCTAGAACCCTAAAACTATTGTTCTATCGGTTTGATAGGTTAGTTACATACAATAAATATTCATAACAGACATCAAAAGTTTTAATATTTACTACTATCGGTGTTATTAAATCAGTATTATTATTAGTAATAATTAAAACGGAGCTGTCGTCGCACCAAGTAGTAAACACAATAAAAATAACGAAAACCGATGGCGTCGACTAATATCTTCATATTATAGCCGACGCAGGTGCATTAATCGTACATGGTTTTTATGTGCCTAACAAATCTAACCGGTTTATATGAATTATATGTGTTCTATCTAAATACATATTTACCAATTAACTCTTCTAAATATATACTTGACTGTTTTCAATTAAAAAAAACCTACAAACAATTTCTTGTTTCAGATCGGCCAATTACTATAACAGTACGGGCGAATGCGAACTTTCGGACATGGATAGGATGACCGTTGCTGGACAAGGACAATTCGAACCGACCGCCTCTGTGGATTACTTGGAAAACAACTGCGTAGACGAACCCATAAAACTGTGTGAATTTAAAAAGTTCCCAGGTCGCATTCTTAAAACCGTAGACTCTGTTTACCAAGAAGTTAATTCGTTGGAAGACTGTAGGGAGCTTTGTCTTAACTCGCCCTATAGGTGCCATTCCTACGATTACGGCGATACGGGAGAACTCGTGTGCAGGCTCAGTCACCACTCCAGAGCAACTCTGGCCGATATTCAGGTATGCGTTTCTAATGTAGGCTATTTATTTTTTGTTGATATTAAAATATTGAGAAACGCGAAGTGTTTGTTTTGTTCACGAAACGCTACTCCTCGTTTATAATTAGTAGTACTTCTCAATGCCTCTCCCGATGATGATTGAATCGCAGCAGAAAAACGTGCAAGCAATTAAATTAAACGTGAATATGATGTTACAAATTAAAACAGTTTATTTTTAGAAATATTTAATTAATAACAGTTATTTATAATCATCTTCGCGAACATTAGTGTATCCTGCAGTATTTTTAACTACTTTAATCACTATATTCTTTTCCCGTTCCGACTTACGTGTAAAGAAATCGATTTATTTTTAAGCTAATAATTTAACGGCAAAAAATAAACCGGAGTTGGTAACGCCAACAAAATAATTATACTTGAGTTAACTTTGATCAATAACAGATATAATTTTTCAATTTCGACTTGGGATTTTTGGAAGCAACAATAAATTAGTGCGACTGGTTCTTTCTCGTTGTGTGTGCGATATCCGTTTCCAAACACGTTCGGCGGTTGTAACCCACATTCGTGTGGTGCCAAAAAAGGCATTCTTCTACACACGGAATACACAATATACAATAATACACTGCTAATAATTTGTAGAAATAATAACGAGCTACCGCCACGGTACGTTATCCCCGGGATGTCGGCGAGTCGCAGTGCTTCTCTGCTCTCCTCTTCGACGTACATTATATAGACATTAATAAATGTGCTGGCCCAGTTCTCGGTTGATTAGAATCGGTATGCCGATAAAAATTATGACACGAACGTGTACAATTTCTATTGCAATTTTCCGACAAGAATTCCAGAATAACATCATCTCCTACACTAAGTCACCAACAAATTAAAACTTATCGTATTTTCAGTTTTCATACAAATCGAGTTTTTTTTTTTGTTGATTGGGAAAGTGATATGTGACAAAAACTGGACGTCCAGATGGTACACATACAAATAAGGGTCAGCGTGAAAAAAACTAATGCATATAAAACAAACAGTTTTCACCTTATAAAAGGAAGCTTTATCAAATTCGTCTAATCATTCAATTTAATTGATGTTAATTTAAAATTATATTTCGATTATAAATTAAAAACTTCACCGTAGTTCATTTTTGAACCGTATGACCCATTCCTAAATGTATATAAAACACAATAATTATTTTCCACTTTCATTTTTCAATTTATTTTGCAATAACCCTATGTATGAACACTAAACAAATTTTTAAATTCATATTATTACATTAAATATGTTCAAAGGTAAATTCTTCTTGCCCGCATGTATAGGTCAACAACACTGTTAATTAGAAACCAAATATTGTACGGGTACTATTGATAATGAACCTATTATCATCATAACTATAGAGTTAACGGTTCAAAAACTAATGTTTTTAATGTTTTTAGGACCCATACTTGGAGGTTCCAGAAGCTTCGACATACGAATTGCACTCGTGTTACAACATTAGCATCGAGTGTAGATCAGGAGACATGGTTGCCAAGATAAAGACTAGCAAACTGTTCAATGGTAAGATCTACGCTAAAGGTAACCCGAACTCTTGTGTTCAAGACGTTAAAGGAAGTCTGGAATTCGAATTGGAAATGGCGTACGATGACGTTGAGTGCAATGTTAAACAACAGGGTCTAGGAAGATACATGAACGACGTTATCATTCAACATCACGATACAATCATAACCAGTTCTGATCTGGGGGTAGCAATCACATGCCAATACGATCTAACAAACAAGACTGTATCCAACGAAGTAGACTTGGGAATACAAGGTGATCTTAAACCATCAATGACTGAAGAGGTAATCGTCGATTCACCAAACGTGGCTATGAAGATCACAGACAGGCAAGGCGCTGATGTTAAGCCGTCGGCCGAAGTGGGCGACCCATTGGCTTTACGATTCGAAATTTTGGACGCCAACAGCCCTTACGAAATATTTGTCAGAGAACTGGTAGCTATGGACGGTGTGGACTCCAGCGAAATCGTACTAATAGATGCCGACGGATGTCCCACGGATCACTTTATCATGGGCCCACTGTACAAGTCGTCAGACACCGGAAGTGGAAAGGTAAATAAAATAATATATATATATAACAATACTAAAAATTGATGATTTAATTTTTTTAGATTCTCCTATCGTACTTCGATGCGTTCAAATTCCCGTCCTCTGAGGTAGTTCAATTCAGAGCCCTAGTCACACCATGTATGCCCACTTGTGAACCAGTGCAATGCGACCAAGAAGACGCGTCGGGAGAACTCCGATCGGTACACTCTTTTGGTAAACGCCGACGGAGGAGATCGGCCAGCAACAATTCGTCGACAAATGCCAGAGACGACATGTTATTAGTACAGAGTATACAGATAACTGATAAATTCGGATTCGGTGCACAACAAGCATCGCCTGAAATGAAACCGGCCGATACCACTACAAATTACGTTAAACATCAAGATTTCAATTTCGACAACTTGTGCGTTAACCTATTCGGCGTTATCATATCCTGTATGGTATTTCTAGCTGTTCAAGTAGCTGTGCTCATAGCTTGGGCCTACGTGTGGAACCGCAAAAGGCCTATGGACCCATACCATCACCACCACGACGGTATGTCGGTTAGCATGAGCATACCAGTAGGACGGACGGACAGCATGTGCAAATTGTACGACACAGGGTACGCGAAACGGTACTGACGAGACACAAAGCTTTGATAGATAGTTTGCCATGACAGATTTTTTTTTTTTACCTTGATTTAATTAAGTATACAAATAACTGATATTTGTTAAACGTACTACGATAATCGATAGCACGATACTTTTCTTCGTAATTAACACGCTGCGCTCAATAACATCCTAAACGATTTCGATGTGTGCGACATAATTCTACGCGCATCACCGTAATACTAATTATAGGCTTCTTAAATTTAATTCTCAAGTCAAAGTTGTTTGATAATATGATAGCTGATTATCGTTATAATCAAAAATATAAAAGTACTTTATTCGTTAAAAAAAAAAAAGTCACTATCGATTTTGTTTATATAAAACTATTGCAACGTTATTTAACGTTTTAGTTAAAATTTTCATGATTTTAATCTAACAAAAATTATCTAATAAGAGATTCTTATTGATTTAAGTCTCTATTTTTGTTAGTCGAGGTACTTAAACAGTAACTTACTGAAAATATTTTCGAAAACGTGTAACATAAATTCTTATTGAAAATTTATTTATTTTCAACAGTACCTCAATTACTATACTAAACTATTAACTTAAAAGTTCTCTTAATTTAAAATTATTATTAGCGAACCAACTTAAATTATAATAGAATTAATAAGTTTTGGCATGTAAGTTTATAAAAGGCTGAAACGTATATGATTTTTCCGACGACGCAGTCAATTTGTAAATTTTATTTAATTTAGATATGCTTGGAAAAATGTAACGTTGTCGGATTCTTGTTTACGTTTCTTAAAGCTTAATTTTGACATATTTTTTTATTTATTTGTCGCACGTACAATAAAGGATATAGCAAAAAAAAAAAAATCTTATAAAATCTTCACATTTTATCCAACAATTAGTAGACCAAACTAATAAAAAAAAAAAAAATTGTCAAAAATATATCTTTAAGTAATTAATTATAAGTATCTACTCGTTTGTACTTTGAATTTATTTTGTACTTCAATATTTAATATTTATTATATTAGTCCTATGAATTATAAGCATAAAGAACATTTTTGATACTAATTTAATGCAATATTATTTCGTAAGGTAAATATAAAATAAATAATAAGCAATATTTAATTGTGCTGATATACTGGCGTTGTTATTTATCAACGATTATTGTCAGGCTCACTTACCCTAAGACGTTGATCACTGACTGTCCAAACACGAGATGCCAAGTCATTAGACGCTGCTACAATCTGTCCTCCAGTACTGTCGAAGTCAACTGACATAACACCGGCATTGCTGCCAATTAACATACCTTTACACTCGGCAACACCTAAAAAAAATTCAACATTTTAATATCAGAGTGATTAATATTTTTAATAGGTATTTTTCTACCTTTGGATACGTCCCATAATTTAACCTTGCGATCTTCGCCACCGGTGGCTACCACGCGGTCTACTGGGCTCCATTTCACAGCACTGACCACCCCATCGTGAGCATCCTACAGAGTTTAAAACAAAAATCTATATCTAATATAACAGTAGTAATAACACTGCGGGTTCATACAAATCTAATGGAAGGTTTGCTCGGGATAGCAGACGGATGTGCCACTATTGGACCAACGCTGTTGCTTACGACCGTACACAAGCTTTCGGCAGATAAGCCTCGCATGTCTTTCGCCGCTTCTTTGAGCTCCTGTTGCATTTTAGCATTTCGTTTTCTGTGCAAAAATTAAAATTTTTAAAAATGTCAAACTATGTTCAAAGCCAAAATAAACCCAAACAATGTAGCATCAACAACACAATGCGAAATCGTGGATAAGATTCTAACGCTTTGGAACTTTTGCCGGGCATATTGAAAATTACATAATTTTTAATCGGTGAACACTACTTGTTTTTTCTGTGTTTCTTTATATGAACGACTACGGAGAACTGAAAAACGGTTTGAAATACAAACTAGTCTTTTTAACTTCAAAACTTATAATGAAGGCAAAAAGAAACAGGATATAAGCGACTACGGGTTTAAAATGATACACAAATTAATTAAGGTACAGAGTTGGAAATATATTTATAGGCTCACATTTACCTTAGTTTATTCATGCCGTAAGAAATTTGAACGTCATGGAATGGAAACGCGACCGGCACTCATATATTTTTTGAACTTAAAAAAATTAAATACAAACAGTTACTCGGCAGCGGGTAGCTGAGCCATCACTACAGCATATATTTAAGAATTATAGCCGGCAAAAAAACTGGCTTGAGTCGTTATGTTTTAATTGAATTTTTTTTTTTGGGCCGACTGTCGACGTTCTAATACTGTAGTAGAGAAGGACAACACAATATGATTAAAGTATTTCGGCACACACGCGGTGCAAACGCTAAAAATATGAAAGCATCGGCTGCACCGCGCGTTGTCGGGTCGCCTTAACAGTTTGCAATTCGGTCCTCTGTCCTCTTATCAAACATACACGCACACACAAACAGACACTAAAATTAGTCAATGGCGAACACAATGAAATCCGTTGTTGGCACGTTCTGGGGTTTGTTTTATTAAATACACACACCTGACTAGATGATCGTTTTCCTCGTTCAGTTTTTCTGCGTCCTTTGATTTGTACGTCATCAGCCTGTCCACCAGCTCTCTGTTATCGTCCTGTAACGAAAATCGACGACGCGTTAACTTGGCGAACATTTTGCAAATAAGTAATCACCAGCACAATAAAATTACTCAAATAGTTGGGTACAGTTTACATTAGCGCAACGCTTGCGATGATTGTCAACCGACTGGCGGTGGCTCACCAGCGGCAGGCGTTCCATAATAAAGTTGTGTATATAATTATGTGCAATATTATAAAAATAGATACACGGCGCCCCGCCGAACAATTTTCACATGAGTTAAGCCTTTAATCGGCCGTATTAAAGCAAACACTTATTTGTTTCACTTTCATTTTTTTAAATATTAGCATTGTGTGTAGCTTGGTTTAATGAAAATCTGTTGTCTTCTAATGATTTTGCATTCTTAAGACGTGACAATGAAATAATTGTTATGATATACATTAGGCGATGAGTTACAATTTAAAAACCGACAATAGGAACAAATTAGAAAAACATTTTCTCAATTGCGTCACTATAATTTTAACTTGTTAATTTACTAAGAGCGTTTTTAGAGAAAATCATGTGATTAACAATTACTCTTTAATGAACATGAGTTTTATAATTTTAACGCACAACATAACATGTCATACAACATATCAATGTTTAATAATTTTATTATTTTCAAATAGTATTTCAATAGATCTTGTTTTGTAGCTTTTTTAACATTTTACGAGGTATGATAGTTCAGAATAATTTTAATTTAAGTCGATGTATTATTATTTTAATAAATTAAAATTTTACTTTTTTTACTAAATAACGATGATAATATTTATATTAAAATTATAGTATACAATTTAATATTTTTAAAAAATTGAGTAAAAGATTATCTGCTAAAAAAATCATTTCATATCCATCCATAATCTTGAACTCTGTCTCATTGTTAAAAACATTTCATTGAGTAATCTAAGATGTTTTTAGAGGCCAATACACCGAGTGAGTTCTACTTATTATATCTTTATGAAGAGGGTGCAGATGAATCTTTTTTTACTGGAACTACTAAACTTAATGCGCATTAATCATTAAAAACTAATTGAATAGATCAAGTAAGTAAAATGTTTTCGAAGAAGTTTAAGACGTTATATAAAACCGAAGAGATTGTTGGAATGTGACGCTAGAATTGGCATTAAAAGCGTGAAAAATATTCAATATATTAATAGCTTCTAAAATTGTATTTTATTTTTTGTCTCTATTATTAGTTGCACATACAATATGGAAATATGAAAATATTTTTGTTTTTGTTG